AAACTTGCTAAATAGTAAATATGAAGAAGATACTACAAACAACTCATGTATATTTAAGATGTATCATCCTCCCTCGCTCTTAAACTGCAAGATTATAATAAAATGACAATCACTCATTAGAACCAAACTTGTTGGCATGATGATATAATAAAAGCTGGTAGATTTTGAGGAAGAAATCATAGCAATCAACAGATGTCTATCTATAAGACTATATGTATATATGATAATGGGTTTGAAAAGTCAAAATCAAATAGTAGTATGTGGTTATATGTAACGAACCTTGTCTACAATAGTCGTAACAAAGCAATAAGCCATGTCTTTTACAGCTTGTTGCATCTGCCAAAGTAACACATTCATATTGACTCAAGAAAAATATATTTAACTAAAAAATCAGCTTGATCAAAGACAGTGAAACTAATGGGGAGAGAATTGCGCCGTTATAAAGGAATAATGATCTATCTTCTTAAATAAGAAAGGATCTATTTGGATCTTATGAAACCTGTTAAAATTAAGTCGGAGAGAGACGATTTTAAACTCTAAAACGGTGGCTTGATGAAGGGTCATGAGATTCATTGGGACTTGAGAACGTCATTTCTACTTTTGCAGGCTAAAGGCATCACCTCTATTTTTGTTTGCTTTGTTTTCCTCTATAATTTCACATGAATTTGTAAACCCTAATTAGGAGATAAACCCATATCTACAAGATGTTTCAGAGAAAGACATAACCTTTTTCAGCGAGTGCATGAGGAAAGATGATAAACTGACGATATTTTGTTATCAGAGATGAGAATATAAATAGATCCATTTGGAGAAGAGAAAGAGACGTTATGCATTTGGATAAATCAGAAATCGGAGAAAGAGAAACTGAGATACTGAAACGTTATGGTAAAACGGTTAAAGCGTCAGCGGCGAACAAACCTCGGTAGAAAGTTTCATCAACTCTGTGTATCCATGATGCTGATGCTGATGTGGCTTATTTTTTATATGGCTTTAATCTCATTGGCTGATTATTTCTTCCAATATTTATGCCTACGTGGAGGCCTTGAGAATCTTCAAAATCTTTTCCTTTTATATAAAGGAGATTACCAACCAATGATCAACTATGGCTGTGACTGGTAAAGTTGACAGAAAAATTGAGAGGAATAGAAAGTAATTAAGATGAGGAATAGAAAGTAATTAAGATGAGAGATAAAAATTTACTGAGGAAAAATA